TWAAATGTTTTTTATAAAATATTTTCTAATTATTTACGCAACTTTTTTAATTATTTTAACAACCACWTTATTTTCCTGAAAATATTTTTACAATAGAAAATATTTTAATGCTGTTTGAGGAATACTAGTTATTAATCCGCATGGAAATTACAGCAAGTAAAATCATACGCATATATTTGTTTATTTCTGCAAGAAACTGGTTAGGTATCCCCGTAARAAAAAAAAACTTAACACAATATTATTATCCTCTGATTTAAAATTAAATCTTTTTCTTTTTACACTTTTTGTTTTCAAAAGTTTTGAACACCATTTTAATAAATGACACCGAATATTAAAATATAGCAAATTGAACAAATTTCGAATCATAAAAGATGCAGGTCTTGCACAGTATTATAGACTAAACATCCGTCCGATAAATCGCAGACTCCAACGTGGTCGTCCCCATGACATCTTAAATCAATAAACTTGTATTTATGTATATATTTAAATGTATTTATCTAATTGTATRATTGTTAACTGCTTYGTAATGTGATAATCTTCATTTTCTGTAGTATATAAAAAAAAAAACAACATAGTTCTTTCTTATACCTACCTAACTTATTATCTGATTTACAAAATGCCAAAATCTTCTTCTGTATTCCTAAGTTCAGATGATAATGGTCAGGAAAACTTCAAATAAATAATAAACAAAAAAAAAAAATTAGCCGACCGAAACATCAAAATATTATATTATATTGTATAGCGTACGCGTGCGCATAATCAATGATAGATAATTATTTATCTCGCGAAATGAGTCCCGCCGCGACGGCCCATCAGCGATAATGTGTGTGACTTCGTTTGTCGTATTATATAATATTTATGTAACGCTAATATTAGTGACAGCGTTTATTATAGAGAAAATACTTCTYGGAGTTATTGAGCGTTGAAAAAAAAAATTGCGATAAAAAAAGTACCTATACCTATATACTGCGACGTGTGGTTTATTGCCAAGTACCTATATACCGACCGAACGGACACTGCGAGACCGTTGAAATTAGTCGTACATTTTTTATACGCCTTCGTGTGGCATTTTCACGCGTGGATAATGTATAATATATATTCATGTATATAATATGTTATATTGTGTTAGTCGTTTTGAACTGCTCCGCGTGAGAAATATCGTAAAACGACGAATTCGACACGGTCGAAATCGAGTGTATTTGCTTGTTCTCCGAGTTTCCTCCCTACACACCACCACTCCCCCCGTTACAACACACGCCTTTATTGTACGCATTCAATATTTACACATATACAATCGTACCGGTCTCTTTTAGTTTTTCCGTATTATACGTGTGAATTCGATTATATTGGGTGCAAATATCCGCGGATGCGCCATCGGAGGGTGAGAAAGAAATCGCRATCGGAATAGTAAATGCCCGTCGCGTACATATATATACTATTGTACCTACATTTATATATATTATACATTATGTACACGGATCGTCGATCTACCTGTCGAGTCGGTATACTTTTTGTATTTCAGTACTCCGCATGTATATACGAAAAGCTATATATATATTCCGTTTTACATAAAAAAATATAATAATAGTAAAAAATACCAGCAATAGACGCATCATCGCCGATTCAGAACTACCTTTATATTAAAACATAATATATTCACTATACCTATACGTTTAGTACTGCACATTATTATACCGAAGGTTTTTCATTTATATTAAGGTAATATAGTTGGTTGTTATACAAATTATTTTACACAAGTACGTTCGGAGTTCCGTATAGTTATGTTCTCGTTGCAGTTTCCATCATATACCACATGACTCGCTGTTCTCATATTACCGTGGCAATTTTTTTCATTTYTTTTTCTCTCGCTTATATATACGATTTAGCCCTCATCGTGTCGAACAGTCATTTTATTCCCGCACATCGGTTTGACTAGTGATTGGATGGTGGGTAACGGGGAGGGGG